TAAAAGGCATTGAGAAAACGTGTTCACATTAATAAATGGATGGGAATAGGAAAATGCCAGTCAGATCTTTGAATTCCTTCCAGGTTGTCAGCTAAAAGCCACTGAAGGTTCAATGATGGTTCTTTTTATCCATTGACTGACAAGATAATTAGGTACTCTCCATTGTGAGGGAAGCAAAGCATTAGAAATCACTTGACTTTCAAAGGGATTTTTTTGAGTCTTCTACTTTTTCATGCCAGTGTTTCAATGATGCCTTTGTTTGGGCCTTTGAGCTTTTTACAACCCAGGGCAGTAAGGTCCTTGTGGGTGTGCAGGCCTTCTCTTTCTAAGGAGAAGGAAAGCACTTGTGAAAGAAGCTACCCATTATCCCAGCAGATCAGATTGAGAAACAGAGGTTAAAAATGTAGAAACTGATGCGGGTGTATCCATGAAGAGGCTTCACATATGCACCAGAAACCATAGACGTGGCTTACAGTGAGCGGCCCGGACTTCCCCCACTGTTAACTGTCCTTAGCTTTATAAAGCTATTGCACCTGTTACGGAATAATAGCATTTGTCATTATCAGCTTCCACAGTGAGGCAGTTCCATGAAAGTGGGTGCTATTAAAATCTCTGTCCTGCAAAGAAGGGAGTTAGCAGGTAATAACCAGTGAGGTGTTAAAGACAAAGTCACAACAAATCCAGTTTCACAGATCTCACTTAGGATTTCAGATTCAGACCAGTCTATACCAAAAATGCAATGGGGTGCTCCATCACCATCATCCCTACATGGCAGGTTATACTAAAGTTGGAGTCAAGGAAATGGTGCATCAAAGCAAGGGTCTAAACACAGCTCTATTGTGTGTGCTGTTTGAACATGGTTTAACTATTTGCCACTCATGGGTATCTGAGATAAAGCTCCCTCTGTCTGTCAGTGACAATAATGTTGCCAATGTTTAAACTAAGTATAAGGCCCATTCCCAATAGGTTCTGGAGGTGGCATTCTTGAACTTCATGAAAAGTTGAAGTTTACTAATTAAACCCAATAATACCTTTTAAAGTGGAATACAGTGATAATATTCAGTGAACTAGAATTACTATTTTTGAAAAAGATTATATTGACTTCATTACAATCCAGTTTTACTTAAATCAAGGTTGTCCAATAAATATATTCTGTTAGCCATTCATGATGTGAGTCCTGCTGTATGAATCAGATCATCATACACTGACCTTGACCATCAAGTAGATCGTTATTCAGTGACTGACTACTGAAAGGAGGGACCAGGGAGTCAGAAGATAAAGAAAATAGGGAAGTCTAGGCTCAGGATGTCTTTCACAAACCATGTGCTGTGCCAAGCAAGTTTGTCAAGAAATGCAGCATCTTATCTACAATCTGTAAGGAGAAAGGGAACAGTCAGTGTGACGTTATTATACCATGGGACAGAGTCAACAGGAGGGTAATCCAGCAACATTGCACAAAAAAAGAACACAGA